AAAAAAAAGAAAAAAAAGAAAACAGCATCGTTGGTTGACAAGTCACGCGAGCCACAACTTTGTTTTTTTTTTTTTTTTTCTTCGAGCGCGCACTGCACTTTAACAAATAACTTAATCACACGCGACAGCGAATCCACGTAGTCTTAATTGATTTTTTTCTTTTGTCACATTTAAGTTCAATCGCCCGATTCATTAGCGTCGACGTACATATTCGCGTACTTGTATTTTACACACCTGAATAACGCGCCCAATCCCCGTCAATTTAGCGCGTTTCGTCTACATCCCCACGAGAGCGACTCCTCGTATAATAGGGTACACATATGTACCGAGCCAAAGGAAGTCTCGTTTGCTCGCACGTGTAAGCTTTTTTTTTTTAAACTAATCGATAAACGTTCTGTAATAACTTTGGATTTATTATTTCCCCCCCCCCTCCCATCCATAAGATATACTCGCACCACATTGTGCCATTTTTATATACGTATTACATCCGTTGGAAATAACGACGCCGCGCACCGGCGTTCGTGTAACCAATTTGGAAAGTTCTTACGCGGTGCGTTAATTGCATTCTAAATATTGCAAACCACCCGCGCGGGGAGCATAATATGTATAACGTATGTATATTATACGCGTGTACGTGTGTGTCCGAGTTCTATACCCGACGAGTACAACGACCCGCGGTCGCGCGGCTAGGGAAAAGCCACGTATTTTATTCATGGCTAATCTGGAACTCGATCATCTGTGCGCAATACCCATCGGATAACGGAACACGTCCAACGCCGGGCCTTTTTTTTTTTTTTTTCACACGATTAAGTACAAAAATGAAAAAAAGCACGTGTATAATATGGTGACGCAGCAATGGTATGTATGTGTGAGATAAAATGAACGATTAAAAACTCGGGCAGGCTCGATCGCGATAACGTTCCTGGCCTACTGGCTCTTCGGCGGCATCTACACGTTCATGGACCTGACGAACCGGCCGAAAGCCCTGCGCCGCTACAAAACCCAGCCGGGGACGAACGAGCCGGTGTCCACGCGGGAGCTGCTCCGCGTGATCGGCCAGGTGCTCTTCAACCAACTGGTGGTCGGCTTGCCCCTAACCCACTGCGCCTACTGGCTCATGAAGTGGCGGGGCTTCCCGGCCCTCCACCAACTGCCGACCTTCCACAGCTTCCTCGCCGAGATCGCCTTCCACATACTATGCGAGGAAATTGGCTTCTACTACTCGCACCGGCTGCTCCACAACCGCCACCTCTACCGGCACATACACAAGCAACACCACAAGTGGACGGCCCCCGTAGCGGTCACCGCCATCTATTGCCACCCCATCGAGCACGTCGGCTCAAACCTCCTGCCGCCCTTCCTCGGGGTCTTTTTGCTCGGCTCGCACGTCGCCACTGCCTGGCTCTGGTTCTGTCTGGCCATACTGTCGACCCTCAACGCCCACTCTGGTTACCACCTGCCCTTCTTCCCGTCGCCCGAGGCCCACGACTTTCACCACCTCAAGTGAGAGCTCATACCTCCCCCCCACCCTTTTTTTTTCGTCCATATGATTATACTCACTGTTTGTCACGTGTGTGCAGGTTTAACCAGTGTTACGGCGTGCTGGGCGTGCTCGACCGGTTCCACGGCACGGACAGCATGTTCCGGAGCTCCAAGGCCTACGAGCGGCACATCATGCTGCTGAGCCTCGTGCCGGCCCGCGAGGCTTTTCCCGACGCCGACGACGACGACGCCAAGCGGCTAACCAACGCCCCCAAGGCGTTTCCCGACGCGGCGATACAGCTCTGCAGGCACTGAGCGTACATTTACCGTGTACACCTGCGCTAATTTTCCTTTTTTTTTTTTTTTTTTTTTTTTTTTCAGTTGCAAATCAAGTGTAAACACCTTTTACTTTTGTCTTTATCGTCTAGGTGTGTACATTTTTGAGTCGTTCCGATGTGCGTTGCGGTGATCCATGTGGACAGACTTGAACACGACTGGGCCTTTTTTTTCCACTGTAACTTGTTACACTTTATTCGACAAGAGGTTTTCTAGAAAAATGTTGATAGTGTATTCCAAAATGGCCCGAGTGTATGGGTGCTAAGAGAAATGTAAGTCGTTGCACTTCATTTTGAGATATGTTAGTTGATTTGTTTCTTGTGTTTTCAAACAAAGTTGCAAACTTCGAATTTATAAGTGCGTGTTAATTATCGGGGAACGACAATGAAAGCCTTATGATATACACTGCAAGGGGGTATATAGTATAGGAATATAATGCACTGCGCCATTCTGGATGTGAAACAGTTGTTGTTTTATTTTTCAATAATGGTCAAGTTGACGATTCGGAGTTGAGCAATATACGGCATTTTCGCAATACAAACGAGGATCGGGAGTGCAGTGTGAAAGAAAAGCCGATTTGTACATAATAAGATTGTGAGAGGTATGTGCATAAGTTTTACTTTATCGTCAGGTTGGTGTTTCATAGCACATTATAAATATATTCACACGATTGACGGAATTTTTCCCTCGGATCGTGATTACTATAGATTTTACTCGCACGAAACACTATACGATGAATAGTAAAGTTCAATGTTATACACTATAGCATTGGAACCGAAGCTCCAGAGATATGTTACTTACTTTACGTAAAATTTTGGGAAGAAGGGGGCGGGTGATAAATTTTTAAATTTCAAACAGTTGAGATGAAATTTTTTCAATCGCCGATGGAACAAAGTATTGTAATTATATTGTACTGAGCGATGATGATGAGTGATATTAATACTACATGTGTATGAAGACTCTAATATATTTATATATACGTATATCTAATCGTAAAAGTTGCCATACACACGTAATTTATATTTTTCTACAAGAAACAAAAATTTTACGAGCGTCTTTTATCAATCGTTCTATTTTTTATTATTTGTTTTTTTGTATATTTCCACCTATTTAGCATAGTTTGATCTTTTCTATGGAGGAAAAAATACATAGAATTGGCCCATATGATTCTACCGGAAGTACCGTTTTTACCATCAGAAACTATTGTTACGTGTATCCATGTATATTATTTCAAAATCTTTACGAGTAAAAAATGTTCGTTTACACAAATTTGTTAGATACGAGGCTAAAGAAGGTGTACGTAAGAAGAAAAAGACGATTTGCGTGATGCCATTATCAGGCTGGTAATAGGCGCACAATTCACACTGGCGTATAAAAGCACAATAAGCATTGGCGTTGTTCAGTTAATCAATTGTTTCTTATTTAGTTTTTTCATAAAATTAAATTTATAAGCGCTTCAACAATTAAATAGAATTACGTTTTTTCGATGTTAATAGAACATGTGTAAGTAAATTAAATGAACCTAGCTATAGTACCACAACATCGATTTACGACTACATAGTAGCGTTAATTAACACGAGCTTTGAAAATGCACACTACACTACGTCTTACTTTTATATAGGTACGGAAAAATCTGTACGGTATCCGATTCTTTGTAAATTTTTGTAAACTTTACTATACTACTTATTTGTGTAAGATTGTGTAAGAATCACGTCTGGAATTTTTAATAAAAATTGCCAAGTTGATGTTTCGATTGGTTTTTTTTTTTTCTTTATTTCTTTTTTTTTAACAAAATGATATAATCTTTACAAAAACATTTTTCATCACATTCTTTGTATTTTGTAAATCAATATTAAAAAATATAATCTTTGTAGTGTTTATTTTTTCACCATCAAAGTCTGGAAATCAATTAAATAGTACGAAAAAATACCAGATTCGATAAAAAGTATTGTTGATATGTATAATATACTTAATTCATATTTTCGTAAGGCAAACAGACATATATTGCTGTTGATAAACTAAATTAAATTTATCGTCTATTAAATGCTGGTCTGTTCCTTAGATTTAAGTATAAAAATAAATTTCAATATTTTTGCGAAGACTTGAGATTTTTATCATACATTTTTTTTTTTTTTTTTTTTTTTTTTTTTTTTTTTTTTTTATTTTTCGTTTTCTCGTCCCCTCGCATCCTTGTTTGTATTTTCCTTTCGAGCGAAAGAAAAAAACCGGNAAATGGTTTTATTACTCATTTTTGTTTTCACGTTTCAAGTATTTTTTTTTTTTTTTTTAACAAAGGTGGTACTCTTTAATTTAAAAAACGTTGAAAGTAATATGTAAGACCAAAGTTATCCAAGTATAAAAGCACCAAAAATTGTTTGCTTGATAGCACAGACATCAATAAACGGATTATCATTAGTTAATGCATGTATAAATGCACGCTAGTTGTATAAAAATTGCTTACGTCCCGAAAATAGATTTCTTGTAAAAATTCAACAATTATCACTCGTTGTACATTCCATCGATCAAAAAGTCCATTCTTCTATAATGCCTCTTACTCCAGTAGTCCTTACCACGCTTGTACAAAACGTAAAAGGTAACACCTAGCAATGGCAGTGCAGTGAACGTTATGATAATAGGCACAATGTAGTCTATCTTCCTTGGCATGCTGATTGGAGATTTATCAGTGGGTGAAGCAGGTATAGGGCCGTCAGCTTCTTTTCCACCAATTGTCAATATTGGTTTAGGCTTTGGTGTTCTAGTAGTGCTACTGTGCGAAGCTACCACAGGCTCCTTTTCTTGCGGATCCTCCTTAACAGGCGCAACATGGAGATTGATTGGTTTTTTAGTTGTTTCATTGGTCACGGTCGCAGTTGATTTCACAACAATGTGTGTGCTAAGCTCAGTTAATACTGAAGAATTAGTTTTTTTTACTGGATCAATCGATGGAGAATCAATCACAGTACCATTCGTACCATTTTTATTCTGACTTTCAATAGACTCCTCTGGCAACACACCTTTCCTCGGCACGGTCTTTTTTTTTAAAATCTTAGAGTTTAAAATTGGAGTCTGGCCTTCCATGGTGATTTTTACATCCTACAACAAACAATACCAATAAACCAAAGAAATGATAAGTCCGGGTTCATAAAAACCTGTGTTACTACAACATACCTCTTTAGGAACAGGCTGAGGACTAGCAGCAGCTGTTAAAACTGACTGTTTGTAATAAACTTCCTTCTTCTTTGTGGATTCATCGCCAGCGGTGATACCAAGCAGGAGAAAAAGGAATAGTAATAACCAGCAACGAGACTTGGGCATTTTCCTCACGTCTTCCTTTTTATATATTGTAAGAAATAATCTCACAACAAGTATGTACACACAACTGTTAAGTTTACAGTCACACAAACATCATCTGACGGCTCGCAAATGGAAGTGTGAAGAAATCAAAATCAAAATTTTATTTAATAACAAAACAAGTTTTAACTGCACGATTGAACCATCACACGTTTCAAGATTTTGAAGTGATAAGAGAAAATCGTGCTCAAATCGCACGATGTACATATGTTTAGTTGTACGAAACAACAACAAAACGTGAGGTCGACGGATACTTTTTCGATCCTACAAGTGATGATGTCTTCCTAGGAACAACCAACTGCTGCACAAACAAAAAAAAACTACACCCACTTTTCTCCTGAGTCTTCACATTTTTTTTTTTTTTTATTTCACTACCTGGTTGCCAAGTACTTTAAGTGCTGATGTTTTCGCAAAAAATGCAGAACAAGCAGAGAACAGCTCTCCAAAGTCCCAAGGCCTCCGGCCTCCGATGGCTCCGATAACTCCGATTGCTCCAAAAAGTAACACTACGTAAACATACACACATTATCATACAACTCATGAAATCAACTTTCTAAATACAGTGTGCATGTGTGTGATACGTGATCGTGAACGTATTGTATACACATATTAATGTAAATATTATACATCTGATCGAATCTCGAGTTTTAATTGATGAGTTTTTATATTCGTTTTTAATTATATTTTTTTAAAGAGGATAGTAAATATACATATATATTGAGTATATGTCGTTGTTGTTGTTGTTGTGTATATTATACACACAAAATCTTGAGTAGTATCTTTTTTTTGCCAATTGTACTACACCAGATCGTACACATGTCTATTTGACATTCGTTTAACATTGCGCTTTAAATTCAATGAGCACGTAAGTGTACCCACATGCCATGCAGTGCTATAATTGAAGTTGAAGGCAAGAAAAATAATAGATCGAGAGCAGAGCCCATGCGTAATGTTTATTCATTGATAATAGTGGTCCAATAAAAATAGCCAGCATCAACTCATAAAGTATGAGTGGCCCAACTTTTGCCTGTGTTATCTTCTGCACGAGTATTTCAAGTATTTGACAACTCCTACCTGCAAAAACACATTGTTTCTAGGGCAGGTGTTGTCATTGCTGAGAAGAGCATTGTGCCACTAATTATTGGATAATTTACCTGTAAGTTTGCCCTTGGCCAACAGTACATAGATAACATTAATAAAATGTGTAGGAATTACTTTGTTTTATTAAGGCCTGCAAAGATGAGGACCAGAAGTAATTCTGGAGTCCGGTTGGACTACTACCAGCGGGTGGTGCACAAGATCATCATGGACCATCAGAATCCTGTGACGGGACTATTTCCTGCGAGCAAGGGTAACAATCACGCTTGGATTCGGGATAATGTTTACACAATACTTGCCGTGTGGGGACTGTCAATGGCTTACAAGAAGACAGCCGATGCAGACGAGGATAGAGCCAAGACTTACGAGCTGGAGCAGAGCTGTGTTAAACTCATGAGGGGCCTTTTGATGGCTATGATGCAACAAAAGGATAAAGTTGAAAAATTCAAATCGACACAGAATCCATTGGATGCTCTGCATGCAAAGTACAGCTCTGCCACTGGCCAGACTGTTGTGGGAGACACCGAGTGGGGTCACTTGCAAATTGACTCAATTTCATTGTACTTGCTGATACTCGCACAAATGACCGCTTCTGGCTTGCAAATCGTGTTCAACTTGGATGAAGTACGTTTTCTTATTTGAAGTTCAAGATACAAGTAAATCTCTTATTGACACTCGTGATGAAACTTTTCATTTCAGGTGGCCTTTATTCAGAATTTGGTTTTTTACATTGAATCCGCCTATTGCACTCCTGATTATGGAGTCTGGGAGAGAGGTGACAAGACAAATCACGGACTACCAGAATTGAATGCAAGTAGTATTGGAATGGCCAAGGCAGCCATGGAAGCTATGAATGAATTGGATCTATTTGGCGCCAGAGGCGGTCCCACTTCGGTTATTCATGTTTTGGCTGACGAAGCGCAAAAGTGCCAAGCGGTTTTGCAGTCAATGTTACCTAGAGAATCCAATTCTAAGGAGCTTGACAGTGGCCTTTTGTCCATCATAAGTTTTCCGGCTTTCGCTGTTGATGAGCCAAATCTCATTCAACTGACCAGAGACGCTATTACCAAAAAGTTGCACGGCAAGTACGGGTGCAAGAGATTTTTAAGAGATGGCTACAGAACACCGAAAGAAGATCCAAACAGATTGTACTATGAACCTTGGGAACTGAGGATGTTTGAGAACATTGAATGCGAGTGGCCACTATTCTTCTGTTATTTAATTTTAGACTACTGTTTTCAAGGCAACCAAGACGCAATAAATCATTATTCGAAATTGTTGGAGGAAATCACAGTAAAAACGGAAGAAGGCATCAGATTGGTTCCCGAGCTTTATGCCGTTTCAGCAGAAAATACTGCTGCTGAGTACGCTGAGCCTGGAAGCCAAAAAAGAGAGGCCCTGGGTAGAACCCCATTTATGTGGGCACAATCACTTTATATTTTAGGAAAATTACTACAAGAAGTACGTATACTTGCGACGTATTAACTGTAAAATATTTTTGGCTCAATGCTTACGAGTTTTCAATTTATTTTTACAGGGGTTTCTAGCAGTGGGAGAATTGGATCCGTTAAATCGGCGTTTGTGCAGCGAAAAAAAACCTGATGTCGTTGTACAAGTCGTTATTTTAGCCGAAGACGCGGAAATCAGAGAAAAAATTGCTCAGCACGATATTCACGTTCAAACGATTGCGGAAGTAGCGCCTATCGAAGTACAACCTGCCAAAGTCCTCAGTCATTTGTACACATATTTAGGCACATAAAAATTTGTTCTATGTATTATTTGTTTTCGTAAATTTATCAATTTCGTATAGATTATAAAAGTTACATATTTTTCCAGGTCGTAATAAAAAACTCGGACTGTCCGGTCGTAAGTCGAGGGACGTTGGTATACTCAGCACAAGCAAACTTTATTCTTTACATGATAGAATATTTGCTTTTACGCCACAGGTAAAGCCACTTTGCTTAATGTATTTTAACGCTCGCGATTCATTTCTTTGTGTATTATTCTCTATTGCCTCCCCTTCCCCCCCAGACTAAAATATTGAGAAAATTTGAATACATTTATTTTTGCGTGAAATTCAGCTGACAGACATGACTCGCTTCTACATCGCTTCGGATTACGAACTCATGATTGACATATTCAAAGGGGAAATTAATTTCTTAAAGTCTAGCTGGCAGAATATGTTAGGCCGACCACTTGTCGTCATACCCCTCAAGAATGTCCACCTAGGTATAGTAACGCAACACCTAAAAGCGATAATATTTCCTTTTTGTTTCATTTTCATTAGTTGCTTTTGTTCTTGACTAATGAGTTTTCTAATAATTTGCAAACAAAAAACATAATGCGAATCTTACTGCTGATTAAAATTGGACGTAAAGTTATGACATGTAAAGGCAAAAGTATTTTTTTTTCACCAACAAAATTGCGCTCACCACTTATGACGTACAAAAATGACAACGAATCAGCGCGCGCGCGCGTTTTTTTCCCTTACTTGTGGAATTTTGTGTCAAAATCAAACAAACACGATAAATTACTTTAACGACAAACGAGTGAGAACGGAGTTGTTTAATTTTTATTAAAAAAGCAAAAATAATAGATCTCCCGCGAGTCTAATTTACCATGTTGTTAGTCATTACTTTGTTGTGCTAGTGTGCGTGTTATTAATAGCATGTAGTGTAACTCACACCGTGTAATAGAATTAGGTTTTATTCCGAAACGAACTGCGACTTTGCCAAAAAAAAAAAAAATCCACATGCATAACTGCATACCAAGAAAAAGATTATGTCAAATTGGGAGACGGAAAAATATTGCGTGAAAAAAAGTTTCAAAAGGAGAAAAATCGCGAGCTTTCGCAACACTTTGTATCATCAGCAACGTTTCTCCGTCTTTCAATTCGATATCATGATTTCTCTCGACGTTGCGAGGTACATGAGGATTTTTTTTTTTTTTTGTCGCAGCAGCAGTTTGTCCAAGGGTAAACCGTAATTCTTGCACACTCATGCGTTAGAACATTGACGTCGTGGACTACTACACGTCCAACGATGCGGCCTTCCTCGCCGATACGTTCACGACCAACCTGGCTTTCCTCACCATCAACTGGAAACAAATGCTCGGCAGACCGACCGTAACACTTGTCGCTAGTCATAGATACTTGGGTAGGCCAACTGCTGTACTTACTACTTATGAGCTGCTTTCCAGTCCAACTTTTTTTTACCATTCGTTTCAATTAACACTGCATTGTATGCACTAGTCTTGCGAATACATAATTTTTTTCTCGTGAAAACATCGTGATTTATTTCATCTTCTTCAATATTGCTTTTAAAAAAAAAAATCAACGTTTGAGTACTTACATCGCTGTCTGCATGATATTTGATTGTCTTATGATTGCTAGCTCATGTGATTATCACCATGTATTTACGTTTAAACACATTAAAAAAATAAAAATAAAAATAAAAATTTAGATCAAGGAAAGATCCCACTAGCGATGATAACGACAATGAAAAAATTAAAGAGCGGCTACATCAACGGTACTAGAGTGTCGCTGGGAAATTTAAACGAGTTTTTGAGCACTTCCTGCATCACTAATCTGAGCTTTTTGGGAAGCTCCGAAGATGGCCGACCCGACCGACTCAATCCTCAGGTACGCGAGTACGCAAAAAATACAATAAACAACTAGCGAATCGCGGCACCAAGAAATATAAATGATCCGTTGAAATGCACAGGTGCAGCAGTACCTGGACGAGCACTTGATGAAAGCTTTTCCGCTGCGCACTAGTTTGCTGGACAAACCTTTGATTCAGGGTGCGAGGAACCTCAGACGACGAATGTCCGTCAAAGGAGCGATCAAAAAAACAAGATCCATAGCTGTCGAACGTGCGTACTTTGAAATGTCAAAAAGACTTTATTGGGCCGTGCTTTTTTTTTAACTCACTGTGAATTTGTTTTGCATGATGCCTTTGAGAAAGAGGAGTGTTAAGTTGAGTTTTTATAACTAATTCACACAGCGACGGAGTTACCCATCGTACTTCATGAACGTAAGTCGTGCCGAGAGCCTAACAGCATGAATTTTTGCAATTCCTTATTATTTATTTTTTTTTTATTTATTCCATTTTACTAACTTTCACACCTGGAATGCAATAATGGTGTTACTACACACTACGTACACTTATTGCATGATTATACGTAGTGTGGCATAACGTGTTTTCGAGGGGCACTTATTTTTTGCACCTATATCCAAACAGCGGAGATACTGGGGATGGCCGGGGAAGACCGACGGCCGTCGCAAGTGTTGTCGGCCAACCCGTTCATAAAAATCACCGACACGACTCTAGCGACAAGCGAAAACCCTCAGCCCAACCGTACGCCATCGCCCACGGAGGAGCTGCTGTCTTGGAAGCCGCACTCCCCGAAGCTCAGCAGACAGAGGATGAACTCGGAGACCCAGTACGCGGACACCGAGGTCGAGGAGCTCATGGCCATGCTGAGGGAAACGGAGAGCTTGGAGGAGCAGGGGGACATTTTGCAGTTCCTGGTGGACTCGCAGGGTTTGATGTTCAACACGGGCATGGTGGAGAACGATCATCCCGTCCTGGTAAAGGATCTCCTCAAAGGTTTGTACGAGAAGGCCTGTCAGCAGAAAATGTGGGGCATCGTGAGACACACGGCCGGCATGCTCGGCAAGCGAGTCGAGGATCTAGCCAAAGCGGTCACCGACCTCCTGGTGCGTCAGAAACAGGTGACGGTGGGCATGCCACCGACCAACGAGCACACCATCGTCGCCCCGCTGCCCGAGAACGAGCTGCGCTCGCTCATACACCAGGCATACGGCGACGACGAGTCCACAGCCATGCTGACCCAGGAGCTGCTCGTATACCTGGCCATGTTCATAAGAACCGAGCCACAGCTGTTCCACGAGATGTTGAGGCTCCGCGTCGGTTTGATCATTCAGGTCATGGCCACCGAGCTGTCGCGCACGCTCATCTGCAGCGGTGAAGAAGCCTCCGAGCACCTGCTCAATCTCTCGCCGTTCGAGATGAAAAATCTCTTGCATCACATTATGAGCGGAAAAGAGTTTGCGATCAGCAGTGGTGAGCTTGACGATTTTCTTTTTTCTTCTCCCCACTTGCTTTCGAGTCTTTGTAATCGAGTGATTTTTATTTTAGTTGGTCGCGGCAACTTCTCCGTCGTTAGCTGCAAGTCTAGTCGAGTAAGCAAGGTGGGTTTGTTTGATCGTTAATTTAATAAATTAAAAAAAAATTATTACACGAAAGTATTACGAATCTCGATTTTCGAATAGAAATCACAGATTGGTGGATTCCTCAATGCCGATCAAGAAAATACAGAAATGGAGCCAGACAGGCAGGGTCAATGGTTGAGAAGAAGACGATTAGATGGAGCTTTAAATCGCGTACCTCGAGACTTTTATCCCCGAGTCTGGCATGTTCTCGAAAGAGTGCGTAAAAAATTTATTTTGTCCTTGTTCGCTTTGAATTTTTTTTTTCGATTATTTCATTTTTATTATTACCTCTTTAGTGCCATGGATTGACCATAGAAGGAAGAATACTCGCACAAAATCTCACCCAGGAAATGACTTCTGGAGAACTGAAATTCGCACTAGCTGTTGAGACTGTTTTAAATACTATACCGCAACCAGAGTATCGTCAACTTATTGTCGAAGCATTGATGGTACTGACTCTCGTTACTGAATACAACGTAGCTTCTTCTCTCGGCGGTCTGATAGCCGTTGAACATTTAGTCCATAAGGCCAATGCCATATTTTTGGAAGATCAGGTGTGCAAATAGACATTTGAACTATGAAATTTTCAGCTATAGCTCAGCTAAAGAACTATAGTTCTTAAATAATCGACATTTAATTATATAGATGAAGATCGACGGGGATGCCACCCTTTGTTGCGCAAAACCAAAGGAACAAAGGGAAACGACTGCACTGGGCACCTTACTGTGCGGAGGGGCGGCATATATCTGCCAGCACTTTTACGATTCGGCGCCTAGTGGAAGCTTTGGGACAATGACATACATAACGAGAGCGGTTGCGAGCCTATTGAATTGTCTTCCTAAAGATGGGGATTTGGAATGTACAATATCCTAAAGCACGCCTTAAACTTTAGAGCATCTTTTTGACAATTATTTTTTTTTTTAATGATGTTGAAACTTCTTGTATACTTATTATTATCTATAGAAGAGATTTAACGTGTTTTTAAGCAAATACGCTGCCTTACTGTTAGCAAAAAAAAAAATTGACTTGTTACAATTGAAATTTAGAGTTTTTTAACAAATTATGTAAGCATAAAAACTGAATAATATATATATATATATATATATATTCTTACGTTTACATTGTTAATACGAATACTTAAAAGCATATACAAATTTTTAAACGTACTTATCTGTGTAAACTGTTCATTTTCTCTAAATTTCATCGTTTATTTACAAACTTAACAAAATCCGTTGCCGTTTAAGGATTGTTCAATTATTTTGTCCACTGCAAATCATTTGAATGGATTAATTTTTGATAGCCACGAGCCATCAGATGGACTGAAAAAAAAATCATGTATTTGTTATCCTTATACATTAAGTTGTTTACAATATTATTCAACTTACTCTTCTCCTTCTTCAATCATTCTTTGTTTTTCTGTCATAAGATGCTGAATAAATTCTTGTCTGTACGTGACTTTCAGTGGAACTATTTTGATGGCTGCTCTCCGTGCATCAATGTGTTTTTTGCATGCCTCTGCCCATGACAACCCATACCATTCAATTTCTTCTCTAGTATACTACATAATGGAAATTAGAATGATTTTCATTCTATAAATCACACCAACATGTAAAAAGCCATGTTTTAACTTACAGGTTCCAGATACTTCTCATATTTAGCATAAATTTCTTCTCGCTTAACAAGATCATTGGGATACAATGTTTTATCAGCTAAATTTATCAACATTTCCCTTTTCAAGTGGAGAGCAAGTAGTGATCTTAAATCACAAGCCTTTGTCTGTAATTACAGATGTTACTTATTTAAAAAATACTTGTTACCAAAATAAAAGTGAAATTATTTCATCACAGTCTTGCATTACCTTAAGAATATAATGATCAAATCCATAATTCTTATGTATTAAGTCGATAGCTCTATCAGTGACCATAGTTCTCATGTACTTGTCTAATATTTCACTATAGATGACAGATTTCTTGAGCTGAGGAACCCAATAACGCACGGTCCTTCTCGTGTATTTGGAACTTTTATAAAACCCTTGGACCACAGCTTCTCCACCCCAAATACCTTGATCTATTTCTTTGGGATACTTTAGTGGTAATGGAATATTTTGCACTGGTACTCTACATTAATAATCATACACTATGTAGTCTTGAAAAATTCCCATTGCTAATAACCAGTCTATACTTACACAGTACCATCATCGCGTTTTTCATATTTGCCTTCCTTAGGAATAAAATGAACTGGTTCTGGTGCTGTTATTTTCCACTCACGCCAAAACTTCTTGTATGCCTGCGGCAACTCAAGACCAATACCAGAAGTCCAACGAGTAGGCTTCTGGATTCTGTACATTTTCTGAAATACAATAAATTCTTAGGAAGCATTACCATCGAAACAATTTATCATTAAAATGTCAATCGTGAACATTATTTTTGTATTCATTACTTTTAGAACATTTCATCACAAAAACTTTGGGGTTATTTTTGATAAAACTTAATAACAATAAAAATATAGAAGAAAACAGACGAAAAGAACATTACCTTAGATAATTCCTTTGGCACCGACATTTTTGTTTTGTCAAATTTTTTTCGACTTCAATTAGTCTGTCTATAAATATTGTTGTTGTTGTACCCCATCAAGGTTCAGCTAAGGAAGAGAGGAGCATAAATTATAGCAAAAAACACAATAGACCATTAATATTTAATCGACCATCGACCATCGACCCTCGTTTCGTATTGCCAACGTCATCTAGCGTTGTGACTTTTGAACTATTCTATACGGGAATACTCATGCACTTTATAATATTATTATATTATTCAACTATTCAGCATTCAACCTTATATAGCCACATCAGGATGGAGAATAATTTAAGATAAACGTGAAGTTATGTGTATAGTTATTATAGTGATCATGTCAATATCTATATTTTAGGAGATCGATTTTTTTATAAAAAATAGATTGTAAACTTGCCGCAAACAGCCCAAACCACATCAACTTTTTATTGCCTATCTATAACATTAGTTGCGGCTGATTTATAGTTAATTAAATGGCTCTATTATAAGATGTAATAATTATTTGGATTAGCGCCATCTAGCGTTTCGAATTTCTGAACTAAAAAGTGGCCCTAAACTTTTGAACCAGAGATTTAGCGCGTAGAGCCATTTAGTCAGTTATAAACCAGCCGCAACTCATGATGAAGCTATAGAATAAAAAAATAACGATACATGTGTTTTTGGCGGCAAGTTAACAATCTATTTTCTACCAAAAAATCGACCTCCTATGTGTTTGTACTTTTAAAGATAAATTTTCAAGCATAAGATGGATTGATAACTTGCCGCAAAAAACACATGTTTCGTTATTTTTTTATTTTATAGCTTCGTCATGAGTTGCGGCTGGTTTAAAATTGACTAAATGGCTCAAATCCTGAATGCTCTGATTGAGAATTTTGGGAGCCACTTTTGGCCAAAAAATAAAAACCGCTAGATGGCGCTGATCCAAAATAATTATTGCTACTTACAGTAAAGTCACTGTATTAATTATAAACCAGCCGCAACGAATTTTATAGATAGATAATAAAAAGTTAACATTTTTCGTTTTATTTGCGGCAAGTTTAAAATTTATCTTTTGCCTTAAAATCGACCTCCAAAACCATCAATATTCTACTTATCTTATATAACTCATAAAATCGACAATATTTACAAAGTTACAATACTCTTGACCTTTTACCATTAACTCATGAAAGAATAGCCCTTCAACTGAAGATTTCCAATAAATAGTTAACTTATATGACCTTATATAATTTAAATGACCTTGTATGTACACTGTTAAATGATTTCAAATATTAAAAGTTAACAAGTTGTTTTATATAATAAATTCATTTTGAT